CTGCGGGACGACTTCTGAAAGCCAGTAACAGCCAATTTTGGGGGAGCAAAATTTTTGTGTAGACACTTCCATAGGTAAATTGACGTAAATTGCCTTGCGTTGACCTCATCTGTAGCGTAGACCAGACCTTATTATAGAAGCTTCTATTCACCTTTTGAAACTTAAGCCTGTAACTCATCTTTGTGTGTGTTTACCTGCTTTAACCTTGTCAATAACTCTCTGATTTCCTGTTGCTAGGTAATAAATCTTTCAACAGTTTATTATAGGATTGGCTACAAGCATTGTCTTTGTGAGATCAAAGGGGCAATTGACCTGGGGTCAATGCCAGGTCCTTTGGGACTGGGAGTAACTTGAATATTGTTGTGATTTTTGGTGTAAGGGACCATCGATCTTGACAAGAGGGACTGGAGTCCCCAAGGGGACCAACTGTGACTCCATGGTTAGGCAGTTATACATTTGATTCTTGGTTGGTGACATCTAAGTACAGTAGAACCCCATTTATCCGATCCTCCATTATCTGGTTCTCCGCATTAAACGAACAACCTGGACTCCAGGCCCCGAAGCAGGCGATCTCTCCTGCAGCCACTAGATGGCGCTGCAGCACTGCATTTTCCCATTCTCTGGCTTAACAGTCCTTTTGGCTTTCCAATCTAGCCCCGGTCCCAATTAGATGGGATAAACGGGGTTCTGCTATGTAGCACTCGCAGCCAACTGGGGGCTTGTGCCCCGCTTCCTGAGAGTCTGCCCTGACATCGGTTCTCACTGCAGGCACTGTTCAGCTGAAACTTCCTCGATCTGTCATTTATACTAGGGGTTCTCAGCCACGGGTACATGTACCCCTAGGGTACGCAGAGGTCTTCCAGGGGGGACATCAACTCATCTAGAGAGTTGCCTAGTTGTACAACAGGCTACAGAAAAAGCACTAGCGAAGTCAGTGCAAACTAAGATTTCATACAGATAATGACTTGTTTATGCTGCTCTATTTACTACATCAGTGGTTCTCCAACTGAGAGTCGCAACCCCAAGGCGAGTTGCAAGTTCGTTTTTAGGGGGTCATCAGGGCTTGCATTCGACTCACTGGGGCCCAGTGCAGAAAGCCGAAGCCCAAGCAATTTAGCTTCACCCTGCTTGCCACGCCCCTAACTCTGGCCACGAGAGCAGGAACAGACTCTGTGTGGGTAAACACTTAATTATCTCTGTGGTTTCACCACCTCCCAGAATGCCAAGGCTCACAAGTGAAAACCAGGGTCATGTATCACACAGGAATGGAAGTACAATATTTCTATTCCAATCTGCTTTATTTTATAACTGTATGGTGACAATGAGAAGGTCAGCAATTTGCCAGGAACAGTGTGCTGTGACCATTCTGAATTTTTACGCCTGACTTTGTAAGCAAGTCGTTTTTAAGTGAGGTGAAACTTGGGGTATGCAAATACAAATCAGACTCCTGAAAGGGGTACGGTTGTCTGGAAAGGTTGAGAGTCCAGCTATGAGGACAGGTGACTAGACTAGACGACCTCTCGAGGTCCCTTCCAGTCCTACGAGTCTATGATTTATCCCGATGGGCAGGCTCTCTGTGACGTTCCCCTCTGGTGTTGTCTGGACCAGTGATCTGCTAGGCCACTCTGACCCTTGACTCTGGGAGCCGGCCTTACCCTGCTCTGCTGTGAGAAACCCCACTCTGGGAGGTTCACACGCAGCCTCTGGCATGTCAGCTGCTCCCAGCTACTTGCAACCAAATTACACTAGCCAATATCTCCGGTCCCAGCCACAACCCTGGGAACCTCCATCTTGCAGTGTCCAGTTATGCCCGCTGGACGCTGCAAACTTATATAAGTTTCAGAGGAACAGCCGTGTTAGTCTGTATTCGCAAAAAGAAAAGGAGTACTTTTGAAGTGAGCTGTAGCTCACGAAAGCTCATGCTCAAATAAATTGGTTAGTCTCTAAGGTGCCACAAGTACTCCTTTTCTTTTTATATAAGTTTGTTAGTTTAACAAAGAAATTGGTATGTACCAGGCTTGTTCTCCCAAGGGGAGCCTCTGACACACCGCAAACCAAACGCACTGCTTCAGGTAGAATAAACAAACAGATTTATGAACTATAAAGATTGATTTAAAGTGATTATAAGTCAAAGCACAGCAAGTCAGATTTGGTCCAATGAAATAAAAGCAAAACGCATTCTAAGCTGGTCTCAACACTTTCAGTGCCCTTACAAACATAGATGCTTCTCACCAAAGGCTGGCTCTTCAGCCAGGCTCTCCCCTTTGATCAGCATTTCAGTCACTTGGCGGTGGTGGTGTCTGTAGATGTAGGCAGAAGAGAGAGAGCATGGCAAAATGTCTCTCCCTTTTATCACGTCCTTTCTTTCCTCCTGGCTTTCCCCCCCCCCCCCCTTCAGAGTCAGGTAAACATTACCTCATTGCAGTCCCAAACCGCCCAAAGGAAGGGGGTGACTCCCTCGAGGGTCTAACAGATTCTTTTGTCACTCCTAAGCCAGTGTCCTTTGTTCCCCTGAGGCTGGGCTGGGTTTGTCCCATCTATGCCCTGACGAGGTGTGAATGGCCCCTCTGCTCTTGGGGAGTTTTCGCCTGGGCTTGTTTTAAGCCATGAGGATACATTTTCAGCCTCATAACTACATACATGAAATTATAACCTATAACCTTACTATACCATTACTGTGACAATTACTGTAACAGCACTATAACAACCATACTCAGTGCATCATGAGCCTCCCGAAGACACCCAACATGACAAACTTTGCTTTGGGTACCACACAATCATTTTATAACGATGAACCTGGGGGCGTAGAGTGTTCCCCTGAGGTACAGTGCGTCACACTCTCCAAACGAGATTCTTTCTCATTGTGACATGGACGCCCAAGTCACCCGGTGCATTTCGTGGCCGTCTCTTCCACAAGAAAGCGTATCCAGTTGCTCAGTCAATTGACGCTCTTCAGCAAGTGCAAGGGGCAGTTTGATTTGGACGATGAAGCAGCACACCGACCTCCCACGTCGTAACACGGAAGCTTTTCAAGGCTTATGTGTTGACAGCAGCTGGTCTAGGCTGTCGGGGAGGAACAATTTTTCGGGTGCGTTTTCGAGTGCCCCCCTCAGCTGGAGGTGGGCTGGGCTGTCGCTGAATAGAGCAGCCGGGTCGGCAAAGAAGTGGCCAAGCTATGGCGCCTCCCCCTCCCCCCACCAAGTCAACGCACAAGTGGCCAAAGTCTCGACCCGCCCACACGCCATGAGTAGGACTCCAGCAGTGTCCGGCGTGGGTCGCTTCTGCCCTCCCCCATTGCTGTGGGACCCGTGGGATCGGAGCTTAAAGTGGGCGAGCGGCCGCCAACAACTTGCACGTGGGCTCAGCCGGCAAGGGCATTTCCAGCGATGGGGGAGGCTCTGTGGGGGCTAGTGGTTAGAGTGGGCGGGATGGGAGCCAGACTCCTGGGTTATCGGGGGGGGGCTAGTGGTTGGGGTGAGGGGATGGGAGCCAGGGTCCTGGGTTTTTCTTGGGGGGGGCAGTGGTTAGAGTGGGGGAGATGGGAGCCAGACTCCTGGGTTATTGGGGGGGGCTAGTGGTTAGAGGGGAGAGGTGCGAGCCAGGACTCCTGCTTTTTCGGGGGAGGGGGGGGGCTAGGAGCCAGGACTCCTGGGTTATCAGGGGAGGGTCTAGTGGTTAGAGTGGGGGGATGGGAGCCAGGACTCCTGGGTTTTCGGGGGCGGGGGGGCGCTAGTGTCACGGAGTCCCTGGCCGATGCTCTGGAACTGCTCCCTACTAAGCCAGTCAGGACTCTGGGGAAGTCTCCTTTCTGGGAGCAGCCTGTCTGCAGGACACACAGCTCACACAGCTTCCACCTTCCTGGGCCTGACCTAGGAGCATTCAGCCTCCTCTGCCCCTCCGTGCGCTTCCCACAGCCAGTCCGTTCAGGCGGGGTCCTGGGGAAGCCAGAGGGTCCTGACCCCCAACTCCGCACTCAGCCAGGACTCTCAGCCAGCCAGGAAAACAGAAGGTTTATTAGACGACAGGAACATGGTCTAACACAGAGCTTGTAGGTGCAGAGAACGGGACCCCTCAGCTGGGTCCATTTTGGGGGGCAGTGAGCCAGACAACCCCGTCTGCCCTTCACTCCATGTCTCCAGCCAGCCCCCAACTGAAACTCCCTCCAGCCCCTCCTCCTCTGGGCTTTGTCCCTTTCCCGGGCCAGGAGGTCACCGGATTCCTTTGTTCTCCAACCCTTCAGCTCCCACCTTGCAGGGGGAAGGGCCCAGGCCATCAGCTGCCAGGACACAGGGTGTCGGCCATTCCCTGTGTCCAGACCCCTGCCCACACCTGCCCTCTAGGGCTCCGCAGTGATCACACACCCGGACCCCACCCCCTAGAGACTTAAGAACTGCAGAGGGGAAACTGAGGCAGCCCCACACTATCCAGAGGAAACATTAAGAACAGTCCCGCTTCGTCACAGCTAGTGGGGGGGGATGGGAGCCAGGACCCCTGAGTTTTCGGGGGGGGGCTAGTGAGGGGGAGCCGCGGGGGGGGGGGGGGGGGGGCTCAGACAAGAGCCACCGCCTCCCAGCCCCGTTCTCCCCTCCGGCTCCGTCCTAGAGAATCTCTCCCTGCCATTGGTCTCCGTCCCTGTCAAGCACCCTCAGCCCGCCCCTCACCTCCCAGTTGCTGATTGGTCCGATAGAACCATGTGGAGGGAGCCAGGCGGCTGATTGGCTTAAATTTAGAGCGCTGCCGGCGACGCGGGGCTGATTCGCTGATTCCTCTCGCGGCGTCTGCATCCGCCCGCTGATGGGTCCAACCCCGGGAAGGGGGCGGGGAGGGGGCGTGATTCCGTCTCTAATTGGTTAGTTCCTTTCTACCGGAGGCGGGCTAAGAGCATCAGGTGCCGCCCGCGATTGGTCGGATCCTCTCTAACGAGGCGGAAGTGCGGTCCTGATTTGCCCGAACCGCCGCCAGGAGGCGGGATCCGGGGCGCCGATTGGCCGAGGCGGGTACCGAGGCGGAAGCGGTAGGTGCGCTCGGCGCCGCGTGTCCCACTCCACGGGGAGGTTGGGATGGAGGCGGCAGGGCCCGAGCTGCGGGTGAGGCGGGGTTCCGGGGGGGCGCCCGGGGGCGCTGGGGAAGGGAGTCGGGGGGGGCGCACGGGGGGGCGGGGCTGGGGAAGGGGAGCGGGGGGCGCACGGGGGGGCGGGGCTGGGGAAGGGGAGCGGGGAGCGCACGGGGGGAGGGGCTGGGGAAGGGGATCGGGGGGGGCGGGTCTGGGGAAGGGGAGCGGGGGGCGCACGGGGGAGCGGGGCTGGGGAAGGGGAGCGGGGGGCGGGGCTGGGGAGCGGGGAGCGCACGGGGGGAGGGGCTGGGGAAGGGGATCCGGGGGGGCGGGGCTGGGGAAGGGGAGCGGGGGGGGCGCACGGGGGAGCGGGGCTGGGGAAGGGGATCCGGGGGGGCGGGGCGGGGCTGGGGAAGGGGAGCGGGGGGGCGCACGGGGGAGCGGGGCTGGGGAAGGGGATCCGGGGGAGCGGGGCTGGGGAAGGGGATCGGGGGGGCGCACGGGGGGAGGGGCTGGGGAAGGGGAGCGGGGGGCGCACGGGGGGAGGGGGCTGGGGAAGGGGAGCGGGGGGCGGGGCTGGGGAGCGGGGAGCGCACGGGGGGAGGGGCTGGGGAAGGGGATCCGGGGGGGCGGGGCTGGGGAAGGGGAGCGGGGGGCGCACGGGGGAGCGGGGCTGGGGAAGGGGATCCGGGGGAGCGGGGCTGGGGAAGGGGATCGGGGGGCGCACGGGGGAGCGGGGATGGGGAAGGGGATCCGGGGGGGCGGGGAAGGGGATCTGGGCGGGACGCTGGTGGGAGGGGGCCTGGCAGGAGGCATGGGGGGGTGGCTCGGTTTAAAGTCTCCCCACCCTGCAGGAGCAGCTGGTGTCCGACCTGCCCCCCGCACTGGCCTTGCTGGGATCGCTCCAGGAGCAGGTGAGAGAGACCCCGACCCCCCAGATCGGGGCCGCCCCCCAGGGGAAAGGCCCTGGCTCACCCCCTTTCTTCCCCCCACAGGTTGTTGGGGTCACGGCCCATGTCCAGGGGCTGCTGCAGAGGGTCCGGGCCGGCACCTTCCCCACGGAAAAGGTAAGAGCGGGTCCTCTTCCGCCCCCGGGTGTCCCCCCCCATCCTGCTCCTGTCCCCTGGGTCCACCCCCATCCTGCCCCTCTCCCGCTTCCCTGCCCCGGGCGTCCCCCCTATCCTGCTCCTGTCCCCTGGGTCCACCCCCATCCTGCCCCTCTCCTGCTTCCCTGGCCTGGGTGTCCCCCCGATCCTGTCCCTGTCCCCGTCCCCCCCTTGATGCCTCTGCCCCCTTCCGCAGGGGCTGAGTTTCCTGGAGCTGAAGGCCCAGCTGCTGCTGTTCTATCTCCAGGACCTGGCCCAGCTGCTGCTGGAGAAGAGCTCGGGCCGCTCCCTGGCCGCCCAGCCGGGTGTCCTGCGCCTGGCTGAGCTGCGCACGGTGCGTGGGGCCGATGGAGCCCATGGGGGCCATGCCGGGGCGGGGGCAGACCGCTGGAGGCAAGCTTCCGGCTCTGTAGGGTACCTCCGGGAGGGGAGTGGGGTCCAGTGGTTAGAGTGGGGGGGAAGGGCTGGGAGCCGGACTCCTGGGTTCTATCCCCAGCTCTGGGAGGGGAGGTGGGCTAGTGGTTAGAGCGGGGGGGGGTACAGGGAGCCTGAACTCCTGGGTGTGGTGGGTGGTTCTTGGGGGGGCAGGGTCTCCCCACGTCTGACTCCCCCACACTCCTGACCCCCCCCCCCCCAGGTGTTGGAGAAGATGCGCCCCATTGAGCAGAAGCTCCGGTACCAGGTTGACAAGCTGGTGAAGGCAGCTGTGACGGGTGCCGTGGGTGAGTTGGGGGCACCGAGGGGGGTGGGCGCGAGGTGACCAGGGCCCCCGCTGACCACGCCTCACCCCCCGGGGTGCTCTCATTGCAGGAGACGACAATCCGCTGAGATTCAAACCGGACCCTGGGAACATGATGAGCAAGGTGAAGGGGAAGGGCAGGACTCCTGGGTTCCATCCCCAGCTCTGGGAAGGGAGGGGGGGGTCTAGTGGTTAGAGCAGGGGAGGGGTTGGGAGCCAGGCTGGGCTCTGTCTATGGGGAGGAATGGGGTTACTCATTGGCCCGCGCTGGGGGGAGGAGGGCAGGGCCAGCTCTTGATTGACAGGCTGTTTTCTCTCGGGCAGCTGAGTGATGAGGAAGAGGACGGGACGGGAGGCAAAGCTGCCGGGAAGAAGCCCCTGGCCAAAGGAGGAGTCCGGAAATACGTCCCACCCCGGCTGGTACCGGTGCATTATGGTGCGAGCTGGGAGCCTGCCCAGCTTCTAGCCCCCGCCTTAGAAAGAGCGGGGTTTGTATAACCACCCCGCGCCCCACCCCAGAGCCAGCTGCCTCTCAGCACCAGGGGAGGGGTCCCGTATGTTCAGCACCGCGCCACATCCCAGAGAGGGCCACCTCTCAGCTCTGGGGGAGGGGTCCCCGTATAGGCAGCCCCCGCCCCACCCCAGAGGGGGCCACCTCTCCGCGCCGGGGGAGGGGTCCCCGTACACTCAGCTCCCGCGCCCCACCCTAGAGGGGGCCGCCTCTCCGCACCAGGGAAGGGGACCCGTACACTCAGCTCCCGCGCCCCACCCTAGAGGGGGCCGCCTCTCCGCACCGGGGAAGGGGTCCCCGTACACTCAGCCCCCGCGCCCCACCCCAGAGGTGACCACATCCCCATCCGTCCCCCCTCAGATGAGACGGAGGCCGAGCGGGAGAAGAAGGCCCTCGACCAGGCGAAGAAGCGGGCGCTGAGCAGCTCCGTCATCCGGGAGCTGAAAGAGCAGTTCTCAGACGCGCCGGAGGAGATCCGCGAAGGGCGCTACCTGCATGCGACCAGGCAGAGCCAGGAGGATGAGCACCGGTGAGTGCGGGCTAGTGGTTAGAGGCGGGGGGGCTGGGAGCTGGGACTCCTGGGTTCTGTCCCTGGCTCTGGGAGGGGAGGGGGGTCCCCGGGCGATGCTCTGGGACTGCTCCCGACGAAGCCAGGCAGGACTCTGGGGGAGCCTCCTCTCTGGGCGCAGCCGTCTGCAGGACACGCAGCTCACCCGGCTCCACCTTCCTGGGTCTGACCCCGGAGCATTCAGCCTCCCCTGCCCCTCCGGGTGCTTCCCACAGTGAGGTGGGGTCCTGGGGGAGCCAGGGGGTCCTGCCCCCCAACTCCGCAGTCAGCCGGGACTCTCAGCCAGCCGGTAACACAGGAGGTTTATTCGCCGACAGGAACACAGCTAGGGCACAGCTTGTTAGCACAGAAATCCGTGACTTTCAGCCAAGTCCATCTTGGGGGTCGGGGAGCCCAGAGCCAGGGCTCTGGCCCTCCCCCTGCACCCCAAGCCAGCCCAGACCGACTCGCTGCCAGCAGCCTGGCCCCTACCCTGCCCATTGCTCCTCCTCCGGCCTTCATCTTGCTTCCCAGGCCAACCATCCCCCTCCTGGGTCTCAGGTTACGAAGGGGCGGCCAGAGCATCCCTGCAGGCAGCTGGAGCAGCCCCCCCAAAAGTCACACACCCTTATTCCCACCACCTAGACATTGGAGCAATACACGGGGAAACTGAGGCACGCACCGCATCCATGCAAAACAGTAAGACTCACATAGGGTCACATACAACATAACAAGGGAAACTCCCCACGACATCACAGGGTCTAGTGGTTAAAGTGTGGGGCTGGGGGCCAGGACTCCTGGGTTCTATCCTGGCTCGGGGAGGGGAGCGGGGTCTTGTGGTAAGGGCTGGGAGCTAGGACTCCTGGGTTCTCTCCTAGCTCTGGGAGGCAGAGGGGAGTGGGGTCTAGTGATCAGAGCAGGACCCAGGCTCCCCGTTCTGGTCATTGCAGGAGGAGCTACGAGGAGGCCATGCTGGTGAGGCTGAACTTGAGCCGGCAGGACAAGGCCCGGCGTCGCCGGGTGGCTGCGCTGGGGGCCCAGCTCCACTCCTTGACCCACTTTGGCGACATCAGCGCCCTGACTGGGGCAGCGCCCCCCACTGGAGAGGTGAGGCAGCGCAGAGTGATGGGTAGGGGCAGGGGAGCAAGCTGGGGCTGAGCCTCACCCAGCTAATTGTCTCCATTCCTCTCCCAGGATCTGAGCCCCCAGAAGAAGAGGAGGAAGAAGACTAATGCAAAGAGGGGAAGGAAAAAGGGTGAGTGTGAAGGGCAGTCCCCTCTGGCCCAGCAGTCCCAACTTCAGTCCCCACCCCCACCTTTTAGAGCCCCTCAAAATCCAGTGGCAGGGGGTTCCACAGGTGAACAGCAGCCCGAGGAGGTTCTAGAACTAGCTGGGAGTCCGGTCACCGGGGTCCTGGCTCTGGAAGGAGAGTGGGCTGTAATGGGTTAGACCGGGTGGGAGGGGAGCCAGGACACCTGGGTTTTCTCCCAGCTCTGGGAGGGGAGCCGGGGCTGTGATCTGTCACTTGTCCGCTCGCTCTCCTTCCACACTCCCCTATTCTCTTCCTTTTGTAGGTTTCCGGAGGCGATAACGGAGCCACATTGTCCCCACTGCACCCGCTGGAGTGATGCCCCCCGCCCCCACCACGGAGCGACTCTCACACGGGGCAGAATGTTTAGACAATAAAATTGAGCCTCTGAACATGTGTCTTGGTGTAAACGTCCACTAGGGGGAGCTGTGCTGCTGGGGCCCGTCGCCCAGCCCGTCACTAGGGGGCGCTGTGCGGCAGCGTTGCCTGCTCGGCTTAGGCCAAGGGTCCCCGGCAAGGGAGCTGATGCACGCTGGGGCCCTGTCCTATCCCCTTGCTCGGCCGGAGGGCAACCGGACCCCAGCATGCCCCCCAGCTCTTTGCCAGCCCCGCTCCATATCTTTGCCAGATCTCAGCTTCCCTCCCCCTAGGTCCTAGCGTAACTGAGCTAAATGTATTAGTGGGGGGGCGGGGGCCAGCTGTCCCCATTCTCCCTCTCGGGGGATCAAACGGGGGCGGGTGCCCCGTGCAGCTTTCCTCGGTTTCCGCCCTTGGGACGGGGGCCAAGCCAGGCGCCTGCTGGCGTGTGACCGCGGGTCATGCCGCAGTTAGCGACCGAGGCCAATTGCGCAGGGAGCCACCCTGCCTCGGTTGCTCGGCTGTGGGCTGGCCCCATAGGGCGGGGCCTCCAGAGCTCTGGGGTGAAAGCCATGTTCTGTGACCGTAGCATCCTTCGATGGGCTGCAGCTGTGGGGGCGTTGGGCTGCGGAGGGGGCCGGTCCGTGCCCAGTCTCCCCCCGACGCTAGGGGGCGCTGGGCTGCCTCTCCCCAGCACTAGGCCCCATTTCAACCTCCACCGCCCCTGCCAGCCCCATCACTTTTGAGGGGACACATGGCGCCGGCGTGTCAGGCCCGGAAGCGTTGTCGTCATGGGGGGGCGGCTGGGGGTCCCCGGCCAGCACCCCCGCCCGGAGCAGCTCCTGGTAGTGCCGGGGGCGATGCCGCTGGAGGTAGACGCTCATCTTGCCGGGCACACCGGTGGCACCGTCCCACCCTGGGAGGGGAGAGAAGACCCGGTCAGTGGGGGCGTCCCGGCGCCTCCCCCCCCCCCCAGTGTCCCAGACGCCACTCACCCAGTGCCCGCTGAAGCTGCATCACCCCCTCCAGCGCTGCCGGCACCTCCTGCTGGGTCCCCACCACGGCCTCCACCTCGGCCACGGTGTAGCCGAAATCCGCCTGGTCCAGGTCCACCCGCAGGCCCCCCAGCCGGTAGCTGCGGCGCCAGGTCACGAAGCTGGCAAACTCTTGCAGGCCCAGCCCGGCCACGGCCCCGGGCACCTGGTCCCAGCCGGGCACGGGGGCCACGCCCAGCACCCCGCACAGCCGGCCCACAATGGCGCGGGGGCTCGTCAGCTCCTGGTAGGTGGTGGCCACGGCAGGCGGCTCTGGGGACGGGGCACCCGGGACGTGGCTGGAGCCTCCGGCGCCCTCTGCTGGCGGCTCTGGGGACAGGGCACCCGGGACGTGGCTGGAGCCTCCGGCGCCCTCTGCTGGCGGCTCTGGGGACAGGGCACCCGGGACGTGGCTGGAGCCTCCGGCGCCCTCTGCTGGCGGCTCTGGGGACAGGGCACCCGGGACGTGGCTGGAGCCTCCGGCTCCTCTGCGTGGCACCGGGGGGCACTTGAGCTCCCAGCCGGCCCCCTGGCGGAGCCGCAGCCAGTGGTCAGCCCGCGTGAGCCGCAGGTCGGGGGTGTCGTAATAGCGGTCGCGGAAGGACGAGCTCCCGGCCAGGGCCGCCCCCAGCGCCGCCAGCCTGGCCTCCGTGCCCGGCCTGGCTGTGAACTTCACCTCCACCTCGATGCTGCCCGACGGCATCACGGCCTCTCTGGGGGCAGGAGAGGGGGAGTGAGCCATGGAGCGACCCCCTGGTCACAGCCCACTGACCCCCCCCACAGCACCCCCTACCCCACTCCCCATAGCACAGTGCACTTCACACAGGCCTGCCCCATGGTGACCCCCACCCAGCCCAGCTCCCTGCCCCAGAGCAACCCCACCCTGCCCCACAGTGCCCCAGCCCAGCTCCCTGCCCCACTCCCCGCCCCACTCCCCAAGCACAGTGCACTTCACACAGGCCTGCCCCATGGTAACCCCCACCCAGCCCAGCTCCCTGCCCCAGAGCAACCCCCACCCTGCCCCACAGAGCCCCAGCCCAGCTCCCTGCCCCACTCCCCAAGCACAGTGCACTTCACACAGGCCTGCCCCATGGTAACCCCCACCCAGCCCAGCTCCCTGCCCCAGAGCAACCCCCACCCTGCCCCACAGAGCCCCAGCCCAGCTCCCTGCCCCACTCCCCAAGCACAGTGCACTTCACACAGGCCTGCCCCATGGCAACCCCCACCCAGCCCCATTCCTTACCCCACAGCAATCCCCACCCAGCCCAGCTCCCTGCCCCACGGCGCCCTTCGCCTGGCCCACTCCCGACAGCACGTGCACCCCGCTCAGCCCCGCCCCACTCCCTGCTCAAGGGGTCTCCTGGCGGGGTCCCGGGGCCAGCACCGACCTCGCCCCGGTCCCAGCTGTCGGCGCCTCCTGGGCGGGGCTGTGAGTGGGCGGGACTGCGAGGAGGGAGCTGGGAGGGGGCGGGGCCGTGAGGCGGGCGGGGCTGTGAGTGGGCGGGGCCGTGGGGGGGGCTGGAGTTTTCTTTTCGGAGAATTAATTTGCTTCCTCGCGCTAGAGTGGTGGGGAGAGGGGCATGCTGGGAGCTGTAGTTCCAGGGGGTGGGGCATGCTGGGAGCTGTAGTTCCAGGTGGTGGGGCATGCTGGGAGCTGTAGTTCTGAGGGGAGCAGGGAATGCTGGGAGCTGTAGTGCCAAAGGGAGTGGGGCATTTTGGGCGAAGTAGTTCCAAGAGGGCAGGGCATTCTGGGAACTGTAGTTCTGTAGGGAGCAGGGCATTCTGGGAGCTGTAGTTCTGTAGGGAGCAGAGCATTCTGGGAGCTGTAGTTCTGTGGGGAGCAGAGCATTCTGGGAGCTGTAGTTCCAGACGACTAAGGGATTGGGAAAACCGATGTCTTTGGCCTCTCTCTCTCTGTCTCACTCCCCGGCCCGCCAACTGCGTCTGTCTCGCTTCTTTGCTCCCAGTTGCTATGGTGACCGGAAAGCTGCAATTAGGAGCTGCAGGATGGGGGGTCCTTAATGAGGAGATGGGGTTAACCCCTTGTGGACCAGGAGGCAGGGACTTCTGAGTGCTATTCCGGGCTCTGAAAGTGGAGTAGGGTCCAGTGGTTAGAGGTGGGAGGGGGGCTGGGAGCCAGGACTCCTGGGTTCTCTCCCGGAGTCTGGGAGGAGAGTGGGGGCTAGTGGTTAGAGCGGGGGTTGGGCACAGCTGATTATTGCTGTTCTCTCTCTGCCTGACAGAACGACCGGCCAGGGAAGGGAGCCCAGAGGCAGCCGGGGAGGAGACGCGGGCTGAAGAGCGGAGGGGGGGAGGGAGTGGGGTGATTATGAGGGAAAGACCATGGGGCGGAGGGGAGATGGGGAGGTTGTAGGGGGCGGTGAGCGAAGGGCTCTGGGGTCAGGGGTGGATGGGGAGGGGGTCAGGGGATGAGGTGTGGGGGAGAATTAGGGGGAAGCCATGTGCGTCTAGGGGAGTGTGGAAGGTGGGGGGAGGGGCATTGGAGCAATGGGGGCTGGGGGAATGGGTGGGGGTGGGGGTTAGCAGGGGCTGGAGGACTGGGGTTGGGAAAGGGCTGGAGGGTCAGGGGTGAGGTGAGGTGGGGGAGAAGGGTTGGGGGTCGGGTGAACCCCCTGAGCTGCTCCGTGCCTCAGTTTCCCCAGTGTAACATGCAGAGAATAGTCCTGCCCTCCCTCGCAAGGGGGTCGGGAGGGGAAAGCTTGTGGGGGGCTGTGATTCTGTAGGAATAGGTTGGAGGCCTGGCTGGCTCAGAGGGGCGAGGATCGGGGTCTTTTGCCTCTAGGGGGCGCTGCTGAGGGGAGGCACGAGGCCTTTCCCCTCTAGGGTCACCAGCTCCAGCCCCAGGGGGGACTCGGGGACCTTCCCCTATAGGGGCCGCTGTGGGGCAGTGGGGGGGCAGTGCACCTGCTCTGGAGGGGGGGTCAGACACGCCCATCTCATCCCCCCCGGCTCCCCCTCACACACACTTTTGTCCACCCCAGGGTGCAGAGGCGGGGGGGGGGGCAGAGCCTGCGGGGGGGGCGAGAGACTACATTTCCCATCATGCTCAGCTGCACCTGCTCCCTGCCGCCCCCCCCGCCGGGGTGCTGGAGGGCGGGGGGGGAGGGAAATTGATTATTCCATTGTGTGGCGCGGCTGCCGGCAGCTCCGGAGCGAGGGAGCGGAGCAGGGCGGGCGCGGACGAGTGTAAATCAATGGGGAAGCCCCGGCGGCGCCCCGATCGATCCGCGGGCCGGGCCTGAGCCAGGGGGAGGCGCTGGAGGAGGGGAGCGGCCGGAGCCGAGCTCCCCCCCCATCCCCACCCCCGGCGGAGCCCCCTCTTCCAGCGAGCAGAGTAAGTGGGATCGATTTCCCATCGCTTCACTCCGGCTGGCAGCGTGTGAACGGGAGGGGGGAGGGAAGGAGACAGAGGAGAGAGGGAGGGGGATGGAGAGAGGGAAGGAGACAGAAAGGGATGGAGGGAGGAATGGAGAGGGGGAAGGAGACAGAGAGGGATGGACAGAGAATGGAGAGGGGGAAGGGGAAGGAGAGAGAGGGGGATGGAGGGGAGAATGGAGAGGGGGATGGGGACAGAGAGGGACGGAGGAGGGATGGACGGGGGAAGGAGAGAGAGGGGGATGGAGAGGGGGAAGGAGACAGAGGGAGGGAGGGAGGGCGGGCGATGGAGAGGGGAAGGAGACAGAGAGGGATGGAGGGGGGATGGACAGGGGGAAGGAGAGAGAGAGGGAGGGCGATGGAGAGGGAGAAGGAGACAAGGAGGAATGGAGGGGAATGGAGACAGGGAAGTAGACAGAGGGGGATGGATGGGGGGTGAAGAGGGGGAAGGGGAGATAGAATGATGGAGGGGAGAATGAAGAGGGAGAAGGAGAAAGAGAGGGAAGGAGAGGAGGGGAAGGAGCGAGGGGAGGGGAGAGGAAGGAGCTAGGGAAGGGGATGGGGTGAGTGGAGGGGAAGGGAGGGGAAGGAGAGAGGGGAGGGGATGGGACGGGGAGAGTGGAGGGGAAGGGAAGGAGAGAGGGGAGGGGAGGGGATGGGGCGAGTGGAGGGGAAGGGAAGGAGAGAGGGGAGGGGAGGGGATGGGGCGAGTGGAGGGGAAGGGAAGGAGCAAGGGGAGGAAATGGGGGAGGGGAGGGGACAGGGCGAGTGGAGGGGAGGGGATGGGGAGTGGAGGGGAAGGAGTGAGGGGAGGGGACGGGGCGAGGGGAGGGGAGGGGAAGGAGACAGGCGAGAGGGGGAAAGGGAGAGGGTGCATGGCGGGGAGCCCGCAGAACAGGGGAGGGAGGCGAGAAGGAAGGAGGGAAGAGGGCAGGGGAAGGAGATGAGAGAGGAAGGGGGGATGGAGGAGGAGAGAGGACTGAGACAGGACAATGGAGGGGTGTGTGGGGATGAAGCGAAGGATGGCTGGAGAGGAGAATGTAGGGATGGGAGGTTGGATAGAGGATGGGGCATGGAGGGACGGAAGGGAGGATGGAAGGAGGGGTGGAGGGGATGTGGAGATGGTGGATGGAAGGGTGGATGGAAGGAGGGGTGTGCGGGGATGGAAGGAGGGGTGGAGGGGATGTGGAGATGGAGGGATGGATGGAAGGAGGGTTGGAGGGGATGTGGAGATGGAGGGATGGATGGAAGGAGGGGTGGAAGGGTGGATGGAAGGAGGGGTGGAGGGGATGTGGAGATGGAGGATGGATGGAAGGAGGGATGGAAGGGTGGATGGAAGGAGGGGTGTGCGGGGATGGAAGGAGGGATGGAGGGGATGTGGAGATGGAGGAGTGTGGGGATGGAGGGATAGGGGACGGAGGAAGGTTTGGATGAGGGATGCATGGAGGGAAGGATGGATGGAAGGGAGGATGGAAGGAGGGGTGTGCGGGGATGGAAGGAGAGATGGAGGGGATGTGGAGATGGAGAGATGGATGGAAGGAGGAGTGGAGGGGTGGATGGAAGGAGGGGTGTGCGGGGATGGAAGGAGGGATGGAGGGGATGTGAAGATGGAGGGATGGATGGAAGGGTGGATGGAAGGAGGGGTGTGCGGGGATGGAAAGAGGGATGGATGGAAGGAAGGGTGGAGGGGATGTGGAGATGGAGGGATGGGGGATGGAGGGATGGATGGAAGGAGGGGTGGAGGGGATGTGGAGATGGAGGGATGGATGGAAGGAGGGATGGAAGGGTGGATGGAAGGAGGGGTGTGCAGGGATGGAAGGAGGGGTGGAGGTGATGTGGAGATGGAGGGATGGATGGAAGGGTGGATGGAAGGAGGGGTGGAGGGGATGTGGAGATGGAGGGATGGATGGAAGGAGGGGTGTGCGGGGATGGAAGGAGGGGTGGAGGGGATGTGGAGATGGAGGGATGGATGGAAGGAGGGGTGTGCGGGGATGGAAGGAGGGGTGGAGGGGATGTGGAGATGGAGGGAGGGGTCGATGGGGCATGGAGGGATGGATGGAAGGAGGGATGGGACAAGGAGTGTGTGCAGGGGGGAGGGCCAGGCCCAGACGCGAGGGTTGTCTGCTGGGGGTCCCGGTATTGGGTTCCCCCCCTCCAGCTGGGCCCCCTTGTTTGGCTCCAGACACCCACTCCTGTCCCCGCTACAGCCAGAGGTGGGGGTTGGGGGAGTAGCAATGTCGGGAAGTGGGGGGCACAAAGGGGAGATGGGGTGGGGGATGTGGACAGTGGGGGAGGGGAAAGGAGCAATAGCGGTTTTGCGAGAGCCACCCTCCATGCCCCCCCGTGCCCTCCATGGGTGGGGGGAACAATGTGGGGGGAAGAGCGGCACCCCCAAACACACTGCCCCAGAGACTGTCCCCCCTCCTTTCTCTCCTTCCCTCCATCTTGGCTGGAGAAGAGGGGGTGGGGTGGGCGGAGGGATGGAGGGAAGGAGAGAACCAGGCCAGCGGACGTGTGGAGGGAAGCAGACAGGGATGGAGGGAAACTGGCTGGTGGAGGGATGGAGGGAAGCCACAGGGATGGAGGGAAAGAAGAAGCCGGGCCGGCGGAGGGCTGGAGGGAAGGAAGGAGTCAGGCTGGCGCAGGGAAGGAGGGAACCGGGCCGGAGGAGGAATGGAGGGAGGGAAGGAACCGGGCCGGCAGAGGGATGGAGGGAAGGAAGAAGCCGGGCTGGCGGAGGGATGGAGGGAAGGAGGGAACCGGGCCAGCAGAGGGATGGAGGGAGGAAGGGAAGGAGGGAACCTGGCTGGCAGAGGGATGGAGGGAAGGATGGAGCCGGGTTGGTGGAGGGATGGAGGGAAGGAAGAAGCAGGCTGGCGGAGGGATGGAGGGAAGGAAGAAGCCAGGCTGGTGGAGGGAAGGAGGGAACCAGGCTGGCAGAGGGATGGAGGGAAGGAAGGAGTCAGGCTGGCGCAGGGAAGGAGGGAACCGGGCCGGAGGAGGAATGGAGGGAGGGAAGGAACCGGGCCAGCGGAGGGATGGAGGGAAGGAAGAAGCCAGGCTGGCGGAGGGATGGAGGTAAGGAGGGAACCGGGCCAGCAGAGGGATGGAGGGATGAAGGGAAGGAGGGAACCTGGCTGGCAGAGGGATGGAGGGAAGGATGGAACCGGGTTGGTGGAGGGATGGAGGGAAGGAAGAAGCCAGGCTGGTGGAGGGAAGGAGGGAACCAGGCTGGTAGAGGGATGGAGGGAAGAAGGGAACCGGGCCAGCGGAGGGATGGAGGGAAGGAAGAAGCCAGGCTGGCGGAGGGATGGAGGGAAGGAAGAAGCAGGCTGGTGGAGGAATGGAGGGAAGGAAGAAGCCAGGCCGGCGGAGGGATGGAGAGAAGGAGGGAACCGGGCTGATGGAGGTAAGGAGGGAACCAGGCCAGCAGAGGGATGGAAGGAAGGAAGGAGCCGGGCCAGCGGAGGGATGAAGGGAAGGAGGGAACCGGGCTGGCGGAGGGGTGGAGGGAAGGAAGAAGCAGGCTGGCGGAGGGAAGGAGGGAAAAGGGCCGGCAGAGGGATGGAGGGAAGGAAGAAGCGGGGCTGGCAGAGGAGTGGAGGGAAGGAAGAAGCCGGGTTGGCGGAGGGGTGGAGGGAAGGAAGAAGCCGGGTTGGCGGAGGGGTGGAGGGAAGGAAGAAGCCGGGTTGGCGGAGGGGTGGAGGGAAGGAAGAAGCCGGGCCGGCGGAGGGGTGGAGGGAAGGAAGAAGCAGGCCGGCGGAGGGATGGAGGGAAGGAAGAAGCAGGCCGGCAGAGGGGTGGAGGGAAGGAAGAAGCCAGGCCGGCAGAGGGGTGGAGGGAAGGAAGAAGCTAGGCCGGCGGAGGGATGGAGGGAAGGAAGAAGCAGGCCGGCAGAGGGGTGGAGGGAAGGAAGAAGCCGGGCCTGCGGAGGGATGGAGGGAAGGAAGAAGCCAGGCCTGCGGAGGGATGGAGGGAAGGAAGAAGCCGGGTTGGCGGAGGGATGGAGGGAAGGAAGAAGCCGGGCCGGCGGAGGGGTGGAGGGAAGGAAGAAGCCGGGCCGGCGGAGGGGTGGAGGGAAAGAAGAAGCCAGGTTGGTGGAGGGGTGGAGGGAAGGAAGAAGCCGGGCCTGCGGAGGGGTGGAGGGAAGGAAGAAGCCGGGCCGGCAGAGGGGTGGAGGGAAGGAAGAAGCTAGGCCGGCGGAGGGATGGAGGGAAGGAAGAAGCAGGCCGGCAGAGGGGTGGAGGGAAGGAAGAAGCCGGGCCTGCGGAGGGATGGAGGGAAGGAAGAAGCCGGGTTGGCGGAGGGGTGGAGGGAAGGAAGAAGCCGGGCCGGCGGAGGGGTGGAGGGAAGGAAGAAGCCGGGCCTGCGGAGGGGTGGAGGGAAGGAAGAAGCCGGGTTGGCGGAGGGATGGAGGGAAGGAAGAAGCCGGGTTGGCGGAGGGGTGGAGGGAAGGAAGAAGCCGGGCAGGCGGAGGGGTGGAGGGAAGGAAGAAGCCGGGCCGGCGGAGGGGTGGAAGTCGGAGTGTATCAAGGAAGCTCATATATTCCAGTGGGCGACAGCTCCGTGCCCTGGCTGGCTCAGCCCATCGATTTTACAATCCTTCTTCCTCCGTCACCTGCTTCTTCGCTCCCTCGCTCCCCCCTCCCCCCGCACAGGACAGAACCCACAGCGCGGGAGGGGGGTGGTTACAGCGGGGGCTGGGAGACAGGACTCCTGGGTTCTCTCCCTGTCTCTGGGAGGGGAGTGGGGTGTGGTGGTTAGAGCGGGGAGCTGGGAGCCAGGACTCCTGGGTTCTCTCTCTGATTTTATGGGACTCCCCCCATCTGGGCAGTATGGGGTGTTTGAATCACTTATTCTCTGTGGCTGAGGCCTAAAGGAGGTTGTTGCCGTGTTGCCGTTCTGTGCGTATTGAGTTGTGTAGCAGCCCCAACGGGCTCGTGATGGGACACAGCAGAG